TAAAATGCATACAAGTTGAGTTTGTATAGGAGTTTTATGTTTGCTATAATATTTCAAGTTCCGACAATTGACTATTTTTATATCGCTTTAAATACCAATATTTTTAATGTTATAAATTTTTAAACTTAAGTATAGTATTTTAGGTTAACTTAGTAAAAATACGGAATAACTCAGTATATTTTAATAAGGGAACTTCATACCAAATGATCTAAATTTAATTAATTATTTTTATTCATTTTTAATCAAGAAAAGTTTATTAGTAGCAAAATACATTCTTCTTTAATAAAATTAGTGTAACATTTATAATTTTAAATAGTTTTATAAATCAATATTTTTCATTCCCTGTGACTTTTTGGGTTTACATATATTACAAATAGTTGTAACATAAAAAAAAATTCATATATATATATAGTATTTACTTATTTCATTTCTTCATTTTACGATTTTTGAGTATGGAACGAGGTTATTTTTTTAATAAGTAGTTATTTTATAATAACATTTTTATGCGTTTTGCATATATATGTATTCCTTTGTCTGATACACCTAAGAAAACAGGAAAGAAAATATAAAAATTCAAATAAATGAATTCAACAAAGTATGAATATTCAGAAAAATGGATTTATTCTGTACAATATTCAATTCATTATTATGGCTTTATTGGTTGACTTTTGCTTTTATACAATTTTATTTGTAACAACAATTATTTGTAATGTTATATATTCCCCGCAAGTCATAAATGAAAACAAAGAGTGAAATTTAAATGAAAAAAACTTTACTAAAAAAGTACCATTGCTCGTTAGACTATTTATAAAATAATCAGAACAATGTAGATACAATTACATTGAAAAGTTAATAATGTAATAAGTAATTATGTCTAAAGGATGTTATTTTAATTCAATTCAATGTTTAAAAAAAACATTTATTTAGATTTAAACGTTTTAATATCTATGATTTTGTGCGCCAAAATGCTTATAATTTAATAATGTTTGATTTTTACATTGCATTTTAATAAAAAAATCTTTAATATACTGTATTTGACAAATTTTCAAAACAAAAATTAGGCAAGTAAAGAAAATAATTAAAAATTTAGAAACATAAGTTTTAACCAAATAATATATCAGTGAAAATTGATCATTGCACTGTACTAGTACGTGTATGAGGTTGTATAGATGATTAACCATAAAACATTTTTGTTCGACTTATGGTGTTGTCTGTCTCTAACGCATAAAACCGTGACCAGAGATATTGTTATAACTTGACATAAATCCCTACAAATAGGCAAAATATATCCCTAAGGCCGAACTCATAGAGTGATTGCTGGATTCCCAATGCAATGCCATCAAAGTAAGCTCGATTTTCCATCACAGTTCTGTAAAAAAAGCTATGACAATTATTGGCCGAGATTTTTATATTCGGAATTCAAATAAATATGTCTTTCTTTTTATACTCAGTCCACACAAGTCTATATTGTTACGCTATTTCCATTGTACATAAATACTTAGCTAAGACTTCGTGTTTTATCATATGATCAGCTTGTATTTTTCAAACTTACTTTATTTACTTAATGTAAAGATATATCTTTACATTAAATGTATCAAACAAAGATATATTTATGTCTTTACAAAAGCTATGATTTTTATAGCTTAACTATGTTAAAATTACATTTATCTTAATCTTTCCTCAACTATTTAGTAATAAATTTGTTTTAATAATCAAATACGTTCTTTATTTATTTTATCTAAAAAACTAACATGCAGGACCGGCGCGAAAATATACAAGATTTTGTGCAAACGCTTTTTGACTTAAATGTTTTAAAAAGTTAATGACTCAAAATTATTAAGGTTACTCAAAGGTGTTTATGATATTATTTTTTGCTTTTCGTTTTAAATACACCTAGCCTAGACATTTAACTATTTGAAATAACCCTTATTTTTATATAATTATTAGAATGTCACAATAATATTTCATATTTGATTATACTCTAAAATCTACAAATAATAATAGTACATACAACTATTTATATATAGGAGAATGTACAGTAATATAAAAAAAACTAACTCGTTTAGATAAGTATATCATATTGAAATGGCTCGTGGTTAAATATATTTTAATTGCATCTGGCATATTTGAATATCAATATCAGAATTTTATATTTTGTCAATAGGAAATGTATCATTAAAAAATATCTGATTTTGTTAATTAAAGAATGAAAATCTTTAAAAAAATGCTTTTTAAAGGTGTACATAACTGAATACGTTACCCTAGAGATCTTTATTTAAACTTGATTTTTAGTTTAATCATATTTAAAGAGTTAAAAATTATTTATAAGATATGGCATGCGAATGAAAAGGTTTTATCCTACATAAAAGGTTCATAAGAAATATAGATTGGGATTTTCATGCTACAACATTAAAAAAAAATAATACTGCACCCTTAGTGTACCAAAATTTTACTATTATAACAGTAAAATTATTTGTGGTTGTCAAATATTTAAGAGATTTTACTAAATAACCTTACGAATATACACAAATAGAATATCTTTTAGCTTCAATACAAAGCTGGAAGATATTAATTTTACTATGATATGTTTTTGTGTGTGTGTGTCTGTTACCTCTTTTTCTCAGCTTTCACCGAACCGATTTCTTTTAACGATACGTCAAAAGATCACAAATCGTATCTAATCAAAGACGTTACCCTTAAAAATTGAAAAAAATTCCCTATTAATCCCGTAAATGAGGGAAATCTCAAAAAAAATTTAAAAATTTAAAAATCGCTAATTTTTGACATTTTTTCAATTTTTTTTTACTTAAAATTGCCATAACTTTTTAAAAATTACCAAATCAATATAATTTTTATTAAGGTTCATGAGGTATTTATCTNCGCTAATTTTTGACATTTTTTCAATTTTTTTTACTTAAAATTGCCATAACTTTTTAAAAATTACCAAATCAATATAATTTTTATTAAGGTTCATGAGGTATTTATCTATAATTTTGTGTATTTTTTTTATAAATTTGACCTTTTACCTTCCTACAAGAGGAGATTCAAAATGACAACTTTTTCACAAAAAAAGAATTTATTCAACTTAACTTTTAAAAGTGTTCTGGAAATACTGACACTTTTATATATATCTTAAATTAAAGCTTATGTAATATACTTTAATATTAAAAAAAAAATTCAGACTTTATTTTGATTTCATAGTGAAAACGGACATCAAACTTACTAAAAAAATATATATAAAAATACTAAATCATTAAATATCAATTTTATACTATATTTAATTGCTACAATAAATATTTATTCATATATTGCACTTATAAATTATAAAACCTGTAATCAGGATATAAATAAAGAAATAAGATATCATGTTGCTTTTGGAGT